ACTCGTATAAAAAATACAAACACCACTGACACCAACTATAACGTATTGCAATTGAAATCCAGTGACTAGAAATAAAATACAGTATGTGCCAAAAAATAGCCTTTTGGTACCTGCAGATAAGGCCAAAGCTGGCGTATATATCGTCACTGATAGAAAAGAAATGTTGCAAATTGTAAAAATGCCCGATGCGAGTTGTCTTGACCTTTTATCAAACCTTTTTTCCAAATATTCATAAACTGTGTCCATTTCAAGATTGTAAAATACAGGTAAGCAGATAAATTTGTTAGCATAGTAGGCTATAATTAGGCCAAAAATCATTAAAAATGAGTTTGCACCAAAACTGTATGTTTCGGAACAGAAGCCTAAAAGAACGGATGTGCAATTGAAACTGGAATTTTTTTAAATTTATTTTCTAATTATATTAAAAAGATTTTACCTTGCAGTTATTGATACACCAACTGGGAATGCGTCCATTTGTTTCTTTCCTTGTAGATATTCCAAAGGATCAGATTGGTTGTTTTTAGAAAAAAAACCGAAATAAATACCAATCAAAATGCTTAAAAGTAGGACTAAAATAAAGATTAAATAATCGTACCAGAGTAGTGTGAGAGAGTCCATTGCAGTCTAAATGTTATAAAACTGCAATTTTACAAAGCTGAATATAAAAGCAAAATGTATGATAAGCGTTTAATTGTAAACGTCACCGATTGTGATAAGGGCCCCTTATAAATTTGAAAATTGTGTTATTACACGTCGTGGAAAGTACGAATTTTAAAATATTATTTTTTATATATAAAGGGAATAAACAACAATAATAATAACAATAATTCTGAAGGTATTAACGATGTGTATTCGAAAGATGCATGCAAAATTTTTCTCCTTACAAACTAAATTTATAATAACTTGAAAAATTGATAAATTTGTCATATAATTTGCCAAAATATTCAATTCAGATCATCTAATTGCAGATTTAAGAGTAAAAATCGGTATTTTATTTATTTTATTGCCAATAGAATAAAGTACCAGATTATTAGTCAAAACGAGAAAATAAAGTGTCACATTGTACCCTGTTAAGAAAAATAGTATATTAAAAAAAGAAAAATGAATGATTTTAATTTTTTACCTATTATTGATATGGGAATAAAAATTTCACTGATATTTGATTAATTTAATATTATTTGAATTATAAGTTTCTGCAATAAAAAATTATGTATAATATACAAACGAATTATTATTAGACTTATTACTGCTTACGTTTCGTCTGGTAATAACTCCTGAATTTTGAAAATTGTATTTTTTAATTTTTAATTTTTAATTCTTCTTACTCTGACAATCTATGCAACCAGAATTTCATAAAGTAATTTATCTTAATCAAAATAGCTAACATTAGAACGAAAATAAAGAAACAAGATGTTTTTAACAAATCTGTTTTATTTAAACGTAAACCACAGATTTACAGGTGTATATTTTTTGCACATTGTAATTGCCACAAAATGTCAAGTATTATTAGTTTTAATCATGATTAAATTTCTGATCGAAGCAATTTGCGATTACGATTGGGGAATTGGGAAACTTTAAAAAACTTTGAAAAATGACGAATTGAAAATAGTTTTGTCTCTAAAGTGAGAACGTCCACAGATAAACTTAGTACATTAAATACATTATCAGGCAACTAATTCAACAAGCTTTGGGGTGGTTCACTAACCGCACTCGAATAATGCACCGATTTTCGATTTTTTGCTTCATTGTCAACAAGGAGAAAGCGAGCGATTGGACTGATTAAATTTTTGTCGACTCGAAAATTTGATTTTTGCGTCAAACAACTGATCAAAGATGCCATGATTATCGTGACAATTACACCAATTACCGAATAGTAGAAGTATGAAATTTGAAACAACCAGGGAGGTGGTGATTTATCACTAAAACAAGTTTTGTAACTAAAAAAAAAGTAAATAAAAAAACCAACATTGTAGTCTCATTTCGTAAAGTTAGGTTTAAACAAATGGTCGAAATGGGTTTCAAATACTGATCTTGACCGTTGTGGTCCTGGTAATAAGTCGCTGGGACAGCAATAAACAAACAAATAAAAAATCCGAAGAGAGTACCATAAAATGCTCCCTAGTTAAAAAAAATTAAATAAGATTTAAAAAAAAACATAACTACTTACTTTAGAGTTAGTTTTTGGTATCAAAAGCCCGCAAGTGAACATCCCTAAAATAGGGCCCCCAGTCACACCTGTTATCGTAAAAATGATATTAAATAGCGTTCCTAAGTATGGCATTACAAAAGCGAAAACTGTGCATAAAATACCAATTCCGACTACTGTTAATTTCAAAATTTGATTTTCAGGAAATTTGCGTAAAAATGGTTTCATGAAATCTGAATATATGGAACCAGACAAACAATTCAAAATTGCTGATTGGAGACTGAAATAAATTACAGTTATTATGACTAAACTGAAAAAAGTTACCTCAAACTTGAGCTGAAAATTGCGGCTACAAAAACCCCGGAAACTCCGGGAATTTTATTACCCACATCCATGGCAAGGTAAGGTAATAACTGGTCCGGTGTTTGGATAAATTTTGCACTGACTGGATCACAATCCSAATATTTTGCATACATAGTCAAGCCAAGAAAAACACAAATAATCATAGTAAAATAGAGCCCAATTATGAAGTAAATCAGGGCTCTTGATGCTTCTTGTACAGTTCGAATTGATCGCATTTTTTGGACCGAAATTTGGTCAACACAAGTAAGTGTCATTAATGTAAACGAATAACCGATTATTATGATCCAAACACTGCTATGTCGAGTCGGATTTGGGTCAAATCTGKAATTTYAGGGTCAATTTTTTGATTTTATTTTTCTAAAATCAGACTCGAAAATGTCCAAACGGCCACTTCCCATCGCTTTGTTCCAAATTTCGATAAAACCCCCAGTTGATCCAATCGCTAAAGCTAGAATAATGATCAGAGTGACCAAAACGACAAAAAATTGCAACACATCTGTCCAAATAACAGTCCTGAAACCTCCAATACTCGTATAAAAAATACAAACACCACTGACACCAACTATAACGTATTGCAATTGAAATCCAGTGACTAGAAATAAAATACAGTATGAGCCAAAAAATAGTTTTTTGGTACCTGCAGATAAAGCCAAAGCTGGTGTATAAATCGTCACTGACAGAAAAAAAATGTTACAAAATGTGTAAATACCCGATGCGAGCTGTCTTGCTCTTTTATCAAACCTTTTTTCCAAATATTCATAAACTGTGTCAATTTCAAGATTGTAAAATACAGGTAAGTAGATAAATTTGTTGGCATAATAGGTCGTAATCATGCCAAAAATGAGCAAAAATGAGTTTGCACCAAAACTGTAAGCTTCTGAACAGAAGCTTAGAAGAACGGAAGTAGAGATAAAACTAAAAAAAAAAATCAATTCTTCTAATTTTATTAAAAAAAATTACCTTGTAGTTAGTGAAACACCCACTGGGAATGCTGTCATTTGTTTTTTTCCTTGTAGATATTCCGAAGGATCAGAATGGTTGTTTTTGGTAAAAAAACCGAAATAAATTCCGATCGAAATGCTGCAAAGTAGGACTAAAATGAAGAATAAATAATCGTACCAAAATAGTGTGAGAGAGTCCATTGCTGTCTAAAATATAGTGAACTTATGACTTCGCAAAAAAACACTGAATGAATAATAAGCGTAAACTAAATTTGCCTACTACTCTGTTTTTCCACTTATCGTGAAAAATGCAAATTCTTTAAAAAAGTTACGAGTATTGTTGATGTCGTGAGTTTAAATGAAAACATAAATAAGAAAGTACTAAAAATGTATGAGATGTATGTTTTGAATAGTAACTTCAGTTATTTTTACCTAGGACAAACAAAAAAAAATAGGAGCGTTGACAATATTTTATTTAAAATAAACTTTTATAAACACGTGTCCAATACATTTTTGACTACGTTTTTATTAGATTCACGATACTTATCTCCATTTAAAAAAAGTCTTTTTTTTTTAAGTTTATAAAACAAAAATATTCGGAGTATATTCAAATAAAAACAAACTGTGTAAGTTTTTTAGCATGCTAAAATGTAAATTATTACGTATAGAATTCGTAATTTAACTTTATTTTTTAAATTGTTAATTAGAAATAAAAAAAGTGTAAGTAGTTGAAAACAAATACAAGCAAGAAATTTATTTTTGCTTGAATAATATATTTGCGTACCTACAAGTGTTTTTCTGTTTTTTTGCTCTCTTAACACTCATTTTTTATTGCTCAAAATATTTCAAATTATTTCAGGGTGGCCCAATAAAAACGAGTTACCCCGAATACCTTAAAAACTAAAAAGATTTTGCAAAAACGCCGAAACAGTTCAATTTTGTTTCCGAGGGGTATATTTTGTGACGTAATTTTTAAAGCACTTCTAGTAACCCTCTAACCTCCACGCAGCCCAACTTTTAAAATTTAAATGACACCTACCCACATCAAATGAAAGCCATTTTAACAAGCTTTTTAAGACTTTTCACCAAAATTGAATCATACTATTTATTCATGAGAGACAGGATGTTCTAAAAAACAAACCACCCTGAAAAAAAACAAAAACAGGTTAATTTTGTTTTTAAAAAGGGCATCTTTTGACGCAATTTTAAAAACACCTCCATTAACTTTTTAACTTCCTCCACATCAATTTCGTAATCCCATATGACACCGACTCACTCAAAATGTTCTTAGAATTTTTTTCCTAAAGTTGCTAAGATATTTGCAAAAGGTAATGTTTCTAATTAGTAATTATTTCTAACAAAAACTATTAAATTAAATTACAAGAAACTTACTAATGTTGTAATAATTATTATTGGAGCTGTAACAAACTTATTTTTGTTTCTTTATTGGGTGATGTACCCAAAAAATAGCAATAGATTTTAAGTTCCTTTGTACATACTGACTCCTAAAAGATTATTTTTTTGCCGATATTTTATAAATGTGTCATTTTGGAAAAAAGATTTTAAAAAGTATATAAAAAGTGTTTTTATTTTATGTCTCACTAGTGTGTTAGTGCTATTTGACATTTTAGATTTAAGTGGCATAGAAGTTGAAGGGTTAGTGAGGGTGTTTTTAAAATTGTGGCAAAAAATGTTCCTCTTAAAAACAAAATTAGGGTGGTTTGTTTTTATTAGAACAACCTGTATCTCACTAATATATGGTTTGATTTAATTTTGGTAAAAAGTTTTGAAAAACTTGTTTAAATAGCTTGCATTTGAGTGGAGTAGTGCCATTTAAATTTTTAAAGTCGGAATGCGTGGGGGTTACAGAGTTACTGAGGGTGCTTTAAAAATTACGACAAAGAATGTTTCCTTCGGAAACAAAATTAATCTGTTTCGGCGTTTTTGCAAAGTCTTTCTAATTTCTGAGATATTCTGGGTGGCTCCTTTTCATTGGGCCACCCTGAATAATATGTGTTTAGTTGCTTAGATTGGTGTCTCTTTCTACTGATATTAGTTCAAAAATAAAGGAGGGAACAATATATTTTTAACAAATCTTTTTACTGTAATGTAAACATACACAGATTTACAGGTGTATTATATTTTTTGCACGTTATAGTTGCCACAAAAAAACAAGAAGACCACAGATTTCATTGAAATTAAATACATTGTTAGGCAACTACATTTACAAGCTTTGAGGAGGTTCACTATGCACACTCGAATATTGCACCGATTTGCGACTTTTTGCTTCTTTTTCAATAAGGAGGAAGCGAGCGATTGGACTAATTAAATTTTTGTCGACTCGTAAATTTGATTTTTGGGTCAAATAACTGATCAAAGATGCCATGATTATTGTGACAATCACACAAATCACCGAATAGTAGAAATATGAAATTTGAAACAACCAGGGAGGTGGCGATTTATCACTAAAACAAGTTTTGTAACTAAAAAAAATAAATAAAAAAATACCGACATTGTAGTC